TAGCAAGAAGAATGATGTACCAGGAAGCATATAGTATGGTATGTAATTAGATAGTGGCTTCTATGTTGGACTCCATTTTAGGATTCCAAAGGGTCAGTAAAGATCATGAAGAGTGGCACAAACAGACGGGCCTTTTGAGGAAGGTTTTCCTCATGCCGGTCCCTTGAAGGGTGTCTAGACTACTGAGCCACACGTGTAACCTCAAAATTTTTAGTAGCCACATTTCAGAAAGTAAAAAGAAAGGGGTGACATTAATTTTAATAATGCATTTTATTGAATCCTACAGCTCTAGTCTGTATTATATCAACAGGTAACCAATATAAAACATTATTTTTTTTTTGCATTCTGTTTTTCATATCAAGCCTTTCAAATCCAGTGTGTGTTGGACACTTCTAGCACATCTCATTTTACACTAGATGCATTTTAAGGGTTCAGTAGCTGTATGTGTCCTGTGGCTGCATACGGGACAGAGCAAGGTTAGCATTTGGGAAGTGCAGCAGGAAGGCAGTTCCAAGCAAGGGGCGTTGGAAGCTGGTAGTGGAAATACACATGGCAATGATGTAGAAAGGTGAGGTACACCAGCCTGCTCCTTCCTCCTGTCCAGTAAGGGAGTCCCAGGGTAACATTGGTCATGAGAAAGAGTGGTAGAATTCTTGCCCTGAGGGTGTTCACAGTGTCAGATATGTGACTAGAGTGCTATGTAGGCCAGGGGTAGGGACAGGACAGTGAGTTGGACTGGGGGATCTTGGTAGGGGGAGAGGAGTGGCAGCCTGACTGGCAGAAGCTGAGGCAGTTTGGGGGCCAGATCATAAAAGGTGTTGTTTGTCTGAGTGGGAAGCTCCTATTTTACTCTGCAGGTGAGAGGGCCCTCTTGAAGAACTCTTAGCAAGTCAAATGATAAGAATTGAGAGCTGCCTGGCTGTCAGCAGGGCCAGGAAAATGGATTGGGGGTGGGTGGTGATGGTAGGGGTGACCCTGCTGGCAGAGAAAGAAGAGACAAATGACAAGGGTCTGAAAGAAGATACTCCATGAATGGAGAAGAAGGGTGGGATTTCAAAGGGCCAAGCCAATGGGAACTAGTGATTGTCTCAGTGAAGTAATGAAACAAGTGTGTTGAAGCCAGGCGAGGAGTGATCAGTCTGAAGCAGAAGAGATCTGGGAGAAGAGGCCTCAGTCAAGGCAAATCGAGTGACATTGGGGCTTTGTCCCAATATTTGGAACCAGAGTGGAGAGGAGTCTCTCACAAATGCTCTCTATATATTGATGGAGTAAAATGGACCGTTTTAGTCTATTTCCTTTTAAGCATTTATTACTTTAGGCAGGGACAAGTTCACTTACGATTCTTTTTTAAAGATTTTATTTATTGGGGCACCTGGGTGGCTCAGTGGGTTGGGCCGCTGCCTTCGGCTCAGGTCATGATCTCAGGTCCTGGGATCGAGCCCCGTATAGGGCTCTCTGCTCGGCGGGGAGCTTGCATCCCTTCCTCTCTCTGCCTGCTTCTCTGCCTACTTGTGATCTCTCTCTGTCAAATAAATAAATAAAATCTTTAAAAAATATTTATTTATTTGACAGAGAGAGAGATCAGAAGTAGGCAGAGAGGCAGGCAGAGAGAGAGGGGGAGGCAGGCTCCCTGCTGAGCAGAGAGCCCAATGTGGGGCTCAATCTCAGGACCCTGTGATCATGACCTGAACTGAAGGCAGAGGCTTTGACCCACTGAGCCACTCAGGAGCCCCTTACTTACAATTTTAAATGTTGCCATTTAAAGTTATTTTATTATTTGCATTTTCCTCTCATTTTTATTAACTACAAACATTTGTTAAAGCTGTGTGCTGTAAGTTAGCTTACTATTTCCTGGATGGCTGAATTGTTTCCTTCCTTTCTCTCTCTTTCTTTTTTTCTCTGATCTGAATAATACTGCTCTAAGCATCTTGGGAAGCAGCTTTGTCTCTAATTTGTGTCATTTCCTTAGGATAGATTCCACTGAAGTCAAGTTGCTGGATTTGAACATGTTTATGACTTAGTTGACTGCTCTCATTTCCTAAATGTTGCTCCCAGTGAGCTTGCTAGCAGCAAGGATTGAGACTACCATGTGCACTGTAGTCCGACTAGCAATAGACACATTGGTGTAATTTGATCGTTGGAGGGAGGCTCTTGGAGAATGGGAGTGTTGGGAGGAGGGCCAGAGGAGTTAGGTGGAGATCCTGGCTAATGATAGGGAAAGACGAATTAGGTGTTAGGGGCGTTGATTTTGAGAAAAGCGCAAGATCCAAGTGGAGGTGTCTAGGAGGTTGTTGGACAGGGGGTCTGGAACATAATAGTAGGGTAGAAAGCTATGGTATGGTTGTTGATTTTCATCCCGGTTCCATCACATCTTCCCACAACCTCTGATGGAGGCAGTATTCCTACCCTCCACTGAGAGGGTGCAGAAACTGAGGCTCAATGAGCTTAACTGCTTGTCTGTCAGCACCCAGTCAGTTAGCGGCAGAGCTGGGATTCCTGATTCTAAAGGCCGTGTTAGTTATCTGACCCAAAAGCGTATTTGTATATCAGAAAATATATTTACCCACCACACTGGATATTAACATAGAAACAAAAGCCCTAGGGCTTTTGCATGTCTCCCAAAAATATTGCTTGGACTTGTACTGTTCTCTTCCTAGTCTGTTTTACTAGATTCTTCTAGGGAGACTTGAGGCTATATTTGATTTCAGGATGGCAGAAGATAAAAAGACTCCCTTTGTGTTTTCCTGTTCATGGGCCTCTCTGAGCCTTGGGCAGGCTGAGCAGGTGGTAAAATATTCGCATGGATGTTAGTGCCAAAGGACATTCTACAACCAGAGCAAAGCCTGAGGTGTAATTTCAGGCTCTTCAGGACGTCTTTGTTTTGTCTCTCTCATTTAACCTTGTTTGAAGCAAAGTCACCTTGCCATAATGCTCACTTTCCTAATTTTTCATCAGTTACCAACATTTTATATTTGTAGCCTCAGGAACATGAGATGAACTTTGGATACAGATGTATGTATCAGAAATACACTACTCCCTGCCTCTAGGGCTCAGGGATGTCTGGACTTCTGATGAGAGAAGTGTGAACCAAGGATAAAGGTTCAGTGGAGCTCAGATGTTTTGTTTGGGACAACTGAAAAAGGCTGACTTCCTCCTTTTATTCTGAGAAGAGAGTTAATTGATAGGTCCAGAATATTTTTTTTTCACTGTTTAAGGAATTTTTTTAAAGCAAGAATTTTATAATCCAAATTACGTTTCCTTGCTCAGTTATCAATTCTGTTATTTAAAACAGGAGTGACATTCTGAGCTATTCCACAGTAAAGAATTACAAAATTAAAGAAAGGAATGCTTTGGATTTTTGTACTTTGCTGAAAACTCTTTTTCCCAGGGTCTATAAAACATTAATTTGTTTTTATATTTTACTATTTTTTGTGGGGTTTTTTTTGTTGTTGTTTTTAAATCAATAAGTAATCTAGGACTAGCATTATGTTTGCTAGACCTGGCATTTGCTCGGTACATGAGGTTCAAAGTTTCCTTTCCTTTTTTAATTTATTTTATATTTTGCAGTGTGGTTTTTTTTTCCATAATGTTTAAGCTTTTCGATGTTTAGATATTTTTCTTCGGTGAAGCACAAGTTTCTTTTCGTGGTCCCTGATCAATGTTAAACAGCTGGAACGCCAGTGGCGCTGTTCACTGCTTTCTGGGCAGCCTCTTTAGCTTGGTGGGCTTGTAGTACAGCTACAGCTTCATCAACTTTAGAACTGAGAGACTCTGGAGACTCAAGCATATGAAGAAGTTCTGAATTATCAATCTCCAACAACATGCCAGTGATTTTACCAGCAAGAGTAGGGTGCATGGCTTGAATTAGAGGAAAGAGACGTTCACCCAACATTTGCTTTTGTTCTTGAGGAGGGGCAGATGCCAACATGGAAGCAGTCAAAGGCTCCTGACCTTGTACATGAACAGCAGGCTGCTGCATGGTAACTTGTGGCTGTGCATTAAGATGTTGCTGAGGATTGCGGACTCCTGCAGCGTACTTATACTGCGGAATGGTGCGGACAGCAGGAGTAGCTGCAGCAGCAGTAGCTGTGGCAGTGGCAGCTGCGGGACGTGGACCCATTGTCTGTGTTGATGTGTTAGCAACACACTGTGTTGACATGACTCGCGGAACCTGTGAAGAAGCTGGTCTCATAAATGGTGGTCTAGGAGCAGCTGGGCGGATAGAACCGGGCATATTTTGGAATGGATGAGGTCTGGCACCCTGAGCGGTCCAGCGAGGACTTGGTCTTAGTTGAGCAATTTGGCTAGGAGGATAGTATGCAGCACGGTTCTGAGTCTGTGGGATAGCTGCCATGAAGTAACCTGAAGGAGGTGCTGGCTGGTAGGGGTTGATTACAGGATTGGGCACAGCTCTTACACTTGCCATTCTCTGCATATACTGGTTAGTGAGGTGAGCCTGGCGCTCTTCTTTGCGCTGAGCTAAAGCTACATACAATGGATTGGTGGCCACAATTCTACCGTTCATTTCTGTAACTGCTTTTGTGGCTTCTTCTGGGGAGGAGAAACATACAAAACCAAACCCTTTGCTGCGACCACCCTCCATCATAACCTTTGCACTAGTGATTGTACCAAAAGGAGAAAACTCTTTCCGGAGACGTTCGTCATCAATACCATCATCGAGATTTTTCACATAAAAGTTAATACCCTGGTATCTGGTGATCCTATCTTGCTTCATCTGTTCAAATTTGTGCTTAAGTTCCATCTGCCATTCCACGTTTTTCTGAGCTCAACCAACATAAATTTGTTTTCCATTGAGCTCCTTTCCATTCATCTCATCCACAGCTTTCTGTGCATCTTCATGCCTTTCGAAGCTTACAAATCCAAAACCTTTGGATTTTCCACTTTCATCAGTCATTACTTTCACACTTAAGGCAGGTCCAAACTTGCCAAAGAGATCCTTAAGGCGCTCATCATCCATATCTTCTCCAAAATTCTTGATGTAAACATTGGTGAACTCTTTTGCCCTAGCTCCGAGTTCTGCTTCTCGTTCTTTACGAGACTTAAATCGTCCAACAAATACTTTGGCGATCATTTAGTAGCATCCCATTCATTTTTTCAATAGCTCTTTCAGCTGCTTCCTGTGTCTCAAAATGTACAAATCCATAACCTTTGGAGCCATTTTCATCACAAACCACCTTACATGAAAGGATGTTACCAAAAGCAGAAAATGTATCATACAGTGCTTTATTATCAATGGATTTGTCCAAATTTTTAATGAATATGTTGCCCACTCCACTTTTGCGAAGTGATGGATCACGCTGAGACCACATGATGCGTACTGGCTTGCCCTTTATAACATCAAAATTCATGGTGTCCAAAGCACGCTCCGCGTCCGCCGGTTGCTGGAAGTTCACATACGCGTAGCCCAAGGAGCGGCGGGTGATCATGTCCCTGCAGACCCCGATGGAGAGGATGGGCCCGGCCGGGCTGAACTTCTCGTCGAGCATCGCCTCGGTCACGTCGGGGTGTAGGTCCCCCACGTAGAGCGAGGCCATGGGGTAGCTGGGGGCGCTGGGGTTCACCTCGGCTCGGCTGCCCGCAGGGCCACAGGCCGCGACCTTTCCGTGAGAGGAGGAGAGCGAGTGCTGGGGCTGGGGGCCGGAGCCGGGGGGAGGGGAGCGGGGGCAAGCGCAGAGGGACAAGAATCAGCCAGAATCGAAAACTCTTCAACTGCCGCAGAACGGGGTCGATTGGCTGCCGCTGGCTGCTGGCTGCCGGCTGGGAAGCAAGGGTGGCGGTGGCGGTGGCGGTGGCGGGTCCGGGCCGCCTAGCGGGAAGGCCTCGGTCTCTTGGTTCCTTCTTGGAGCTGCTGCGGGGCCGCGGGCGGACGGGCGGGTCGGTCTCGGCTGCTTCACCAGGTTATTTTATAAAAGAGGAAGAAAAAAAAAAATAAAAGTCTCCGGCGGGGGAGACACGGATTTTTTGTAAATTTTGGGGGGGGGGGGGTAAAAAATTTTTTTTGGTTTTTTTTTTTTTTTTTTTTTTTTTTTAATAATAAATGTGAGTTCCGAGCCCGGAGCACACACTCCGCACTCTCAGCACTAACCACCGGGGAGAAGGGGCCAGAATATTTTGATGTAAACTTTTTTTAACTTGTATTTTGATTTTGTTGGTGGTTTACTTGTAATTGGGCATGGATCATTTTACTAGCTGTTTAGAATACTGACCTTTCTACAGATAAAACTGTAGAGAATTGTTTATTTTTTTAAAAATTGTCTTTCAAAATGGCAAATTGATTCCATTTAAATTTTAAAAATTTTAAAGGAGGAATATGTTACTGTACTATAAAATTAATAATATATAAAAGTAGTAGAAAACTATGCTGTCTTCAGATTTAAAAGAAATTTCAGTTCCATACACATTTTCTCAAGAGTGTATGAGTGAGTGTGTGTGTGTGTGTGTCTGTCTGTCTGTCTGTTCGGGAGGGCTGTGTATTCAGATATTAATAGGGCAGAATCCCAGAACCTATGCCTCTTGGAGAGGTTGCCAGTGCTTCCTGAGGGCGGTGCGGTCTGAGGTAGATTTGGAGTGCTGAATATGGGGTTTTCCCCGGGGGATAGATTAGGGATGAGGGGATTGCAGAGAGAGGAACTTGTGTAAAGGTAATGGTGTGGCCACCATGGAGTTAAGTGTCCAGTGGCTTTTATCCTGTGGTGTGGTAGTTCTTGGGAGCCAGGAAGACCTAAGTAGAGGGCAGGGGCCAGATCTGGTTTTGCCCCCTTGATGATTGGCCCAAGAGTCTCAGACTTTCTGAGATTTGAAGCATGAGTACCAGAGGAGTGTGAGCTCCCACCTTTTGGATTGCAAACCCTGAGGGTGTAGCATGGGCTGCCAGCGTTCATCTTTCCCCAGAGTGGAGGGAATCTACCTCAAATGGAATCCATAATGAGAGGGAAGCGGGGCAGAGAGATGGAGGGTGAGAGTACAGCAGACCCTTTGTGAGCCAAGAGGTCCGGCTGTGTCTGTGCCATCTCCAACTCTGAGTTTCTTGGTTGCAGGTGCCAGTAACACCCTGTTTTTCTTCAGCTAGCTTGAGTCATAGTTCTGGGTCTTGAAACGGAAAGAATACAGATTCATATGCCAGAAAAAGAGGGAGGAAATCCCAGGTCAAGGTTGGGCGGGTGGGTGGGTATGTGTGGGTATGCTTTTTCTATATTTTAAGAGCTGAGCCAATTGAGCTTGTATATATGTAGAAGAAGGAACTAATGAAAGAGCAAAATTGAAGAGGCAGTGCAGAGAAGGGGAATACAAATGGAGAAAGGTGGGGCCTTCAGTGGGATGAAGGGTGTGGGGCAGGAGATCAGGCTTGACAAGAGGGACATCACTTCCTTTAAGGCCACTTGGAGGAACTAAGAATGGGGTCCTAGATGTGGAGGGAGCTCTCTTGCCCTGGCTTCTGTTTTCTCTGTGAAGGTAAGAGGTAGACCTGGCTACTGAGCCAGTTTTCTTGCCCGTGCAGTAATAGGGACTGAGGATGTCTTGTTCCCTCTCCCATGCCTTAAAACAAAGGAAATACTGTAATCAGTAAGACCCATTACTGATTATTGTTGTTCTTTGGGGGAACACTCTCATAAATGCATTTAACTTATGTATTCAGTAATTGGCCAGAAGCCAGGAAATGTATATATATGTAAAACAAGGACAGTTAGGGAGTGCGCATATTGTTTGGCCTTCCACTCAGTGACTATGTGTCCCGGAGTGCAGTGGGTGGGCCCAGGGAAGTGCTGTGTTCTCAGTGGTCTTCTTTCCTTCATGCCTCTCCTCTGTGGGACCATCTGTCCTGCTGGGTGTGGCTCTTGTGGTTAAGGGTAATTTTGATCTTCTCCATTTTTGCCTTGAATGCCACTTCACCTCACATAAGATGTCTTGGGATTATACATATTCGTGTGGCACCTTGCCCTTTTGCAGTGTTTTCTTATATTCTCATTGGATCAATATGCTGCCTGAAGCTCCCAGTTCAGAAAGGACTTACCTTTTAGATTCTTAGTCAAACTTTGTTTCTGACTTAGTTCTGAATGTCCATTTCAAGTTTTTTTTTTTTTTTTTTTAAAGATTTTATTTATTTATTTGACAGAGAGAGATCACAAGTAGACAGAGAGGCAGGCAGAGAGAGAGAGAGAGAGGGAAGCAGGCTCCCTGCTGAGCAGAGAGCCCGATGCGGGACTCGATCCCAGGAACCTGAGATCATGACCTGAGCCGAAGGCAGCGGCTTAACCCACTGAGCCACCCAGGCGCCCGCATTTCAAGTTTTTAACTGTGATTTTTATAAAAGAGAGATTTCATAACCATTTTTATGTTTTTTGTATTGTTTTAGAAACTGAACCCACATCTGAAAGGTATTTTAAAAGTAGTTGTAATTTGTAACAGTAAATATTTCTTTTCACTATTGCAACTGTGATTTAGCCTAAAAAGATAAGGAGCCCTATGATATTGTCTTTGCGTTTGATTTTAAGTGACGGCACATATTCACTGAACATCAACCAGGGTTTCAAGGACAAATAGTTACTAGTGACACTGCCTGTGCCTCACTGTGAGACCATGAGAATGTATCACTCAGGCCTCTGCTGTGGGGATCATGACTGACTGATGGCTCCAGCTGCCGCCCTCTGGATTCACCACCACTTCTTAGCCAAAGCTGAGCTTCTCTTCGGCTACTTGCAGTTACTGAGCAAGTGGGGATACTACTGTGGTCCACTCATGCAAGATCCAGATGCCTCTGAAGGGTGACTCTGGCTTGAGGACTCCCAATGGGTTGGTCAAGACCCTCTTTGGACTGAGTTGGGAGTCTGAGATCCTTCCTTCCAGCCCTCCTTCCTTCCCTGTCTCCTTCACAGGGGGTCAGACCTGCATTGTGGTTCAGCCTCCCCATGCCTTCTCAGGTCTCTCCCTTTTCCCCTTCACAGCCAGTTCCCCCAATAAATCTCCTACACGTGTAATGCTGTCTTGGTGTCTCCTTCTCAGGGAGCCCAAACTGACACACCATCCCTTTCCCCAGAGGTGTTGTCCATCCTACTATCTAAAACCCTTTCAGGAGACAGCATGAAGACACTACCTTTTCCACATCAACTTTCTTTATCCCTCTGCCCTGAGATGATGTTTCCTCAGAATTTCCATGGCATTTTGAACTTTGTGTTTGGCATTTATGGCCTTTGGCTTTGTATCTGCTGGATGTCTCCTCCTAGATGATAAATACACTGAGAACTTGAAGAGCTTCTTGTTCATCTGATTCGTTTTGGTAACATACTTCTTTATTTGTAATCATGATAATTAGCATTTAATCAGCACTTTCCATGTGCCCAACACTGCCAGAAATACTTTTACGTGAATTAATTCAGGTAATCCCCCAAATAGGGTGGGTAATATTCTCCTCATTTTACAGATGAGATCCAGAGAGGTTAAGAATCTTGTCCAGGGTGACATAGCTGGTAAGTGACAGAGGCAGGGTTTGAATTGAGGTGGCTGGCTCCATGGTCCTGTTGTTCATTTAGCAGTTATGTTTTATTCAGACAGAACATGTTCCAGCTGCTGTACCCAGTGTTGGGGTCGCCAGAGCTTGCAATCCAAGTCTAGAATTAACAACTACTTAAAAAGCAAACCCCAAAACGTGATTTCCAAATAGGCGGGTGTAAGTCTCTGGGAGAGTAACAGCTACCTGATATTTTAAAAAATGTCTAAAAGCCTTCCTGCCCCAATAATTGTTTTCGCAAGCCAATGTTCCCATCGTTAAAGTAGTGATTTGAGACCGAGAATTAAGGTCTCCTCAAAGAGTCCCCTGACCTTCTCCCTTATGTACATGCACTCATTATCACGCCCACCCCTCTGACCCCAAGGAGAAGAGCTGTAAGAGAGGACGAAGTGTGGACGAAAGGGAGAAGAGGTTGGGCAAGGAGGTCGGAGGAGAGGGGCAGCCGGACCAGAGGGCTGTTGGGAAGGATAGGCTTGGGTGAGGCTTCTTTCATGGAAACCAAATTGCAGAGA